GGGGTGGTTGTTTAAAGTTTAAACAAGTTTAAAGGAATTTAAATCTGAAGAGATTTGACTGAGAGTTTCGAAAATACTGCACTGTTTAGTGACCATTATCCATTCTTGGATAAATGAGGGGGCACTGTCTGGTATAAACTTAGTTGCCCCCGTCCTGTCCCCCAAGGTACAGAAAGAAGTGTTGTCCTCGAGTCTTAGAAACAGACCTTGAACCTTAAGACCCTTTGAGATCCCCAGCCAGGACACCGGAGGTGCCAGGGCACAACCAGTCCCAGCACAGCTGGGGGATGCCTTGCTGGAGGGCTGACAGTGCATCAGAGCGATTTGGGGATGTCATAAAATGTTCCCTGCAGCTTCAGCTATCCCAGAGATATGTCTGGAGAGGGGTCTTCTTATAGTATGAGGAAAAGAGGAAAAAGAGAATGTCAATCTTCAGATGTTGATAATCTGGAAAATGTATTATTAATTAGTGACTGCAGGATAAATATGCAGGAACTGAAACTGGATACTTCTGCCTCATCCTTTCTTGTTCATATCCCAATGACACACATACAGGTGGAGAGCCAGACGTATGGACACCACTGTGGGAAGATGTATGGGAGGCAGGGTCAGTGACCTCTATCTGCTGTGTGCCCCTGAGTGCAGGAGGCCACGTGCTGTGCCTCCAAGGACTGCACCTTTGGCTCTATCCTGTCATTGCTTTCCATCATTAACTCCTCCCCTGCGTTTGTTCAGGACCGTCTTTTCAGCATCCCTGTGATCACAGATGTTTTTTGCTGATTCCCCACTAGGTTGCCTGCTATGAAAACAGCACTTTGTCACAGTTGCTGGTTTATTGAGGGAGTGAGACACCTCTGTTAAAAGCTGTGGGAAAGGGCCCTCTAGCACTCTGTCTGCCTTAAAAGTCTTGCGTTCAATTTGGAAAGGAACTTGAACTAAAACCACCAAAAAGCTATCGAGAAGTACTGACTGTACATAAAGTTTTGTGATTGTTTCCATATCCCTCGTAATTCCCAACCGCAGCTCCGTCCTAGAGGCTACATGCACATGGTGGG